ACAAATAACCAAAACCAACAAAACCCCGCCGCTGCTACTACCACCACCGAAATTCTACAGTAATCGCGCCGCCGCCGCCGTTCAATCGTCCGTCACCTATGCGCCATAGCACACGGGTAAACCCTACACATGACATACAAACATATATATTCGCATATACATAAACGTATGTACATACATCAGCGCGCGCACACACACACGTACACACACGCACACGCATACAGAGACATACATTTGTTTCACTTTGTCGCGAATAAACACGCTCAGCGATTTTCCCCCAAATTCTCTAATGAATCGACAAGGAAAGGCGCACCGGCGTGTTTCGAGCTCGAGTTCGTTTCGAAATTTTGTTCGCTATTTTACAAATTTGAAATGATGATGATGATGAAAACCGTTGCATCGTTGATCGATACGGTATGGGTTTCGTTCTGCTTTTTGTTGCATTTCTTACAAATGTGCAGTTTTACTTCTATTTTTCAATTTGTCTGTGATTCACGCATATGCGACGCCAAGGACATTTGTTCCTCGAGTTTATTTTGCATTTAGTTGTCGCCTTTGTAATTTGGCTCAAGGATTAATTGATGATGATGATTGTACATATTTCAAATTGTAACAGATTATATGTTATACATATATTATTAACAGTTGATGAATAAAGTATTGATGGGAAAAGTACAACACAACAAAACGCGTTTCCATGTAATAAAAAATTCAGTAGTTTAGAGAGACACGCAACAAACACACGCACGTACTGAGGAGAAACATCTGGATTAAGGAGCCCTATACTGGAGGAAATCACAACAAAAATACCAATCAATTACGCGATGCAACTCACAAAACAGCAGATTCGTTTCTTGAGATTCATTACCTGTACGATCTTCTAATTGGGCTGCGGCTACGATCCCTAAAACACAACTCTCAAACACATCGTGAGGAATGATGCAAGCAGTGGAACGCCTCCATAAATTTCCGCCTCAAGCACGTTTCTCGTAGTATTGGGATGATAAGGAAGTCTTGAGCCGTTTGACATTTTTGCTTCTTTATTTTTTTTATTCAGCATCAAACTATTGACCTGACCATTGTTATGGCAATCACAGTAAAATGGATAACGGTGAAATTTCACTTCATCACTGATTTGGACCTCATTGTTAGCTTTCAATATGATGACTAGTTTCCCGTCTTCTCCCCTCCCTTCCCCTGACCTCCCGAAGAGTTTTCTCAACAACATATTTCTCACAACAAGACCCCACCAT